ATACTGTATTTAAATTGCAAGTACAGTATAAGCCTGCTACTAATTGCATATGATTTACTTCTTAGGAAGGTAAAATCTCAAATGCAAATTTTGCTTGCTGAAGTGCAAACAAAATGGGGAAAATATAGACTTTAACAAATTTTGAAAAAAGAGAAACATCATCTTTTCATCGCCAAGGAATGTAATCTAGATGATGTATTTATTGATTGTAACATTGTCACAATACTCTCAATTTTAGTAGTGTCTTGTCCCTAGACATCATACTTTTCCTGTTAGCAATAGCCATGCTGATTATCTAATTCTTTTCAAGGGAAACGTTTTGAGTTAAATTAAAATAACGTGATCTTCGGCTTGTATTTGTATCAAAAGTTCGCATATAGTTAATCTGGGCCTTCTTCTTTTACTCTTTCCATATCTATCTCGTCTTTCACTTATCTAACTCCGTTCTCGAGATTAAGGAAGGACAGCCAGACGGACGGACAACAATGGGAATTTATAGGTTTACAATTTTTTCAAATTGCAGCCCTGAAGGGGTTGGGTAATAAAGCAGATTTTAAGTAATAACACGACAATTGAACAAATTTAATTGAGATCAGGTGTTGATATTTCAANTCATACTGACAACTGTGAAGACAATATCTACCACTTTCTGTTTCACTGTTCCTTGTACAGCGAGAACCGCGAGACCTTCTACAGAGACTGCCTTTTGCACGGCAACAAATGGCCGCCAGAAGAAAAAAATCTAATTGATAAAAAACAACTGGCTCCCACCAGTGGGCGAGTGGTCTCCGTTGCCGCTCATAGCGGTGACCAGACCCTAAACACTGGGACCCACCAGTGGGCGAGTGGTCTCCGTTGCCGCTCATAGCGGTGACCAGACTCTAAACACTGGGAAGTTCGGTCGTGGGTTCGCGCCGCAATCGGACAGGCTGGCTGCTTGGAGTTTTCCGGGTTTTCTCCTTGCTAATACCGTCTGAATAGAAGGCTAGTTCCCCATAAAAGTCCTCCCGGAAGGCATTATTTCCCGCGCGCGCGTATAGGCTGTTCGGATACGGCTGGCTCTTCGGTCGCATAGCGATCATATGTCTGTCGGAGAAAGAGCCCATATGAGCTAAAATCTCCATATTAACATCTGAGAAAAAGAAGAAAAACAACTGTACAAAAGCATGCTGCACTTCATTACTAGCAACAAAAAACTATGACAAAAAGCATCAATTAAAGAAAGAATGAACTGGACTGAAATATGGAAAAGTATTATATAGTCTGATGGAAAAAAAATAATTTAGACGATCTTGATGGTTGGGCTTACTATTGGTAGGACAGTATGGTAGTGGATCATTGATGGTTTGACCAGAACTCTCAAGAGAGGTAAAAACATCAATTGCCTTCATTAACTGCCGCACAAAAACAGTAGATAATCAACATTTATTAGAAGAGCATTTACTACTTTTATTGAAAATCTGAAGGACTCACATCTTTATTTTCGACAAGATAATGCAGCTGTGGACACTGCAAAAACCACTTTCGAGTGGTTTTTAAGTAACCGACTTCCAGTTTTAGATTGGCTTGCTTTGTTTTTCAGGCTTGAATCAGGTGGAAAATACGTACACTATCTTGGCAAGATCAGTTTATGCTCATGAAAAGAAGTATTCATCTCTGGAAGATCTGAAAGAAGGTATACGGCAGAAATGGAATGAAATTTCAATGGAATTCTCTGTGTACTTGATCAAATCAATGCCAAATTGTATTTTTAAAGTGATTAACAAAAATGACAAGCAAATTGGTTTGAGGGGACCGTTACTGGTTCCTCTAAATAGTCGAAATCGGTTAGATCGCTCAATCCGATCTCATCCACGAACGGAGTTGTCGTGGAGTCGAGTTAGATATTCTAGGATTGAAGGAAGGATCCGAATGTCGTTTTCACTAGTTTATTTCCGATAATTACAACTCTATGTACAGATGGTTAGAACAACGCCGATCATGTAGACAAGCAGGGGCGCCTCTAGCTGTTTGAACGCCCGTGTGCAATACCGATTATTCCGCCCCTGTTTAACTACGATTACCTATGCTGAGCTTGCCAGAAAGGCTCTTTGCCGCCCCCTGGACGTGCCGCCCGCGTGCGGTGCACGCCTTGCACGACCGCTTATGGCGGCCCTGTAGACAAGGGTTGGAGAGCACGAGACGAACGTCTAAACACGTCGACCCAAAAAGTGTCAACCTCGACCTCTGACGTCACGCCGGTTGGGGACGGTGGTCAGGCGCAGTGTTGCCGACCGCCGCAGGTTGTTAAGGTATTAATTTGTTTTTGCTTGTTTTTTTTTAATTTTGAGTGTCTGAAACTATGTTTTTGGGACAAAGCTTTTTAAATTTTCGCTTCTAAATTTAATTTTCTCTTACATTTACAAAAATCTCAAATATTTGATAAATTATAGCTATTTTCATTATGTTTGAATGAATGTATTTGCATAAAAGTTTATGTAAATAAACATGTATATTTTTTATTGGAATTTTCAAAGTGTATCTAATTTTATGGAAGTTTTGAGTTTGAAGGTTGAAAGTTACGTGATTTCGTGTAATTTAATGCCGATTGCAATGCAAAATCGTACATTTGACAACTCAAATAAGAACCATTTATTATGAAAGTGATTTTGACCGGACCTTTTAAGTCCATTTTTCATTGAGTCGAAATATTTAAGGGTTTGAATTTAAATCAATCCAAATCTATTAAATTTACACGAAAACTTATGATTAATTCTACATATTTTAGTTGTCACATGTCTGGCAACAATGATATGAACATAAACCGAGGTGAATAAAGTAGGCTAAATGTCAATTTATTACATGTTTTATTTTTAAAATGAATGTATTAAGTACATTTGTATGTAGTTCATAACAAACATGATTTAATTATTTTAATTAAAAATTTATTTTATAATATTTTAAAAAGCGATGGAATTAAAAAGTGTTTATTTAAAAATTTTTCCTTGAGCTATTTATTATGGGGACCACAGAAAAATATTAAACTCAAAAGGATCCAAAAGGAGAAACACTGGTTTAGAATGTCTGATAGAATAATGGTGATCAATCTCAAATGTCGGGACCATCCCTCTCCAAAATTTATAAAAAAATATACAATGGAAGTTCGTTAATCCGGCAACTACGGGTCTAGACTCCAGATTATCGGGCGTTTTTGTGTTTTTGAAAATTCGATACGGTTATATGAGAGAGATTTGAACGTTGCAGACTTTGCTGTACATTTTAACAGCTACCGCTGTATGCTTTCGATTAGTTTAAGCGCTCTTTAAACATGACTATACTGTGCAAAAATGGATTGAAAAATCTGCAAAAGTATTAATGAACGTGCTATTGCCTGGGTCATTAGCGCATCACGTGTCTAAACAAATTCCGACTGACGGAATATTTATTAGGGTGCCGGATTATCACCACAGAATTTAGATTATCGGCTACTTTTTAGAGGTCGGATTAGTGAATTTATACTATAAGAATAAAATCAATAAGACCACATTGAGCAGTATCTCCTGCATCGCTGAGGTCTCTGCAAAACACGAGTGCCTTATACAAATGTTTGTTGCTTGCAGTGGTAAAACATAGTGGAGTGTTTTGAATGTCTTTTGCACGTCCTGAAATGTTGCCATACCAAGTTTAGTTGCATTTAGACTGCTAAATATCTCTCAAGGGTTGAATAGGATACTTTACTATCGGTTGGTATAAATTACACACAAAAAAGCTTGAATTCAAGTTTATAATACTATACATGTCAGGGATATAATAATTTTATTACAATAATATTTTAAATAATATTGTTTTGTTGCATAAATTAAACATAATGTGAAAAATAAGCAAGATCATCTGTCATGTGTAATCTGTCTGACAGTAGAATCTGATTATTGGAGCTGATTGCCCAAAAAATGTTTAATTCTTGAATAAAAACAATCTGTTGGACTCCTTAAAAATTTTTTAGTGTCAGTACTCTTCTGTTTATAATACAGTGTTAAATATCACTATATTCTTCATGTTTATAATTAGTAATTTGATTAACAGGATTAAACATTTCACTATATTTTGTTATTTCAACTTTTTAATTAATTATGTAATTGAATTGTTTAAAGTTATATAATCAGCTATGAATTATATGATATAAGGAATGAAAAATAATACAAAAAATAGAAAAATTGGGATTATTTACATATATTACTTGTAATCACATCATTATAATCATCTATAATAATCTCTCAAGTCTCCATAGATATAACAAACACAGAAATAAATAACACAAAATAAATTGTAGCTATGTGTCGATTCCGCACAACACGTCTGAACATGTAAGCTGAACAATAGTGTGGGGGGACTGAGTAATCAAGAGCTGCATGGCGCTCAAACAAAAGATGAATCGACGAGATTTGAAAATCACGTAAATCAGGGTAGCGTAAGTCGAGGTATTACTGTATTTTCATTTATAATATTGATTGTAAAAATATTACAAATTGTTTTATCTTAGAAATAATCACATAAAAATATTTCTGAGACATATGTATTTCATATTCAGCATTGAAGTTTTTAATAATAAATTTTAAAAATTATATCTTGTAAAATTTACAATACTACTAAACAATTTCAGAATTGAAATTTCATTTTAAAAAGTTCTTTGGCAGTTGATAATTGGAAGGAGAGTTGAAACTAGGTTCTATTTACCAAAAGAAATTTGTTGTGCATTCTTAACATTACAATTTCATAAATCTAGTCTCTTTAAAGAAATATGAAATCTTTTTTCAAAGAAAACTGATGAAGTACATTGGGCTTGAAAAGAAAATTAAAATCTGCTAGAAAAGAAAATCACTCATAGAGGATATGCATTGACTCTTCAGAGGAAACTTTGAAAATACAATAAATAATAAAATTATTATTAAAAAAAATTGAAGTCTAAAAAATTAATGTTGTTTCTTATGTGTTCTTATTTAAACATTTCAGGTTCTTATCTTATGACGCAGAAAGATACATTTTTTGATAGAACAAAAGCAAGCCAAATTATATCAACTATTTTAGCAGGAACAGATATTACTACTGAAATTGAATTGCCTCCACCTGCAATTTGGAAAGTAAGAAATTTATTGTTTGTTTTATTATAAGTAAATTAAACTAATAAATTAAAATCCAATTGAAGGGCCCAATTTAACAAATCACTAAGTCACATTTTCTTGTTATCAAGATAATTATGGTTAAAGAGGAAACATCTGAAATAATTCCATTGTAGATTTTAAATCAGCAAAGATAAAAACTACAGAACATACCTTTGTCTTTTATTTTATGTAATTAAACATTAGTTATCATTACTTATTTGTTCAGTATAAAAAAAAAAATATGGAATTAGGAATTTTTTCACTTTGACAATACTTTGAAATTTACATTCTGCTGTTATAATAAATGAAAATAGCTAAGCAAATGTATTGTGTGTATATTTTTCATACATATAGACATATCAAATTATTATTTCAGTAAAAAGCTCATTAAGTTATTTATATGACAGGGAGATATTGAGAATTCTTTATTGAAAGTACTTTACAACAAAGAGAAAATTTTGGTGTTGAATTAATATGAATCTTTAATTAGGACTTGCTTTATGTTTTTCAGATACTGCTTTTCTGATTTAATTCTTTTATGTTGACTTCACATTTTTAGTGAAATTATTATTTATTTTATATAAATATTTGTAAAAAAAAATAATGATAATTTTATTAAAGTATGATTACATATATTTTCTCTACTTTTAAGAAATTTATTTTATCTGGTTTTTAATAGTTGCAGTTCAGATTAACTTTATCAAACAATTATTATACTTTTACAAATTTGAACTTTCTTGAACAGGTTCTTGTAGATAATAATGTAGCAAAATCATTTTTGCAAATTTAGTTTGTGAATTAGCATTTAGATATCTATCTTGTATTCAATGATATTATTTCGTTTATTTCTTCGTGTGATTTCAGTATAATAAATATTTAGCTTATGATATGGAATATATATCATAAATATGAGTTTATGATATGGGCAGGACATAATACATTTGCTTTCTTTAGTTAAGATTATTTATTCCTATTTTATTTATTAAAATTAATCTCAAGTTTAGTCTCAGTTGCATCATTACATTAAATTCTACTCTGTTAAACAAATCTATTATTTTTAAATGTTAAATCTCCAATGTAGAATGTTGAAAGTAAATAAATTTTGATCTTAGATTTTATGTAAAAGGCAAAGAGAGGGTTGAGTGATTAATATTCCATATCACTGCTGCTATTAAATTTTATCATTGTATTATATAATCATTTTAAAATTTTTTGTTTTCTGTTATTTTAGCCAAGAATATGTGAATTTTAAGAGAAGCTTGAATTTTAATCAATATAAGAAACAATGATTAATATAGCAATTTAGAGATTGTTTATTAAAAAGTATGTATATACATTAATTAGTAATCAAACACAAACAATTGTGAAATGTATTATGAAAAATACATATATTTAGTTTATATTTTTAAGCTGTTTTTTAGCTTTTGTTTTTGTTAATCAGTTGAATTTGTTTTCACTTTACAGTGAAATATTATTCTCAAGTTTGATTATATTTGTTAAAAAAATTTAAATTCTGCATCTGCATTTGAATATGATTAGTAAGATACTGTTTTAATGTGATAATCTGAAGATGAGCTTTATAACAAGCTAATAAAGCACTTTCTTTTAAGTTTGAACTTTTATATGGCAATTTTAATAAAAACAGCTTTGTTCATGAGTTTGATTACTTGTATAATTTATTTATTAGAGATAGATTTTGAATCTCCAACAAATCCTCAAATCCCAAGTAAATTTTCAACTATGCCATCCCATTTCTGAATTTGTGGTTCATCAGAAAAACCATATTATGAATCCTTGAACTCAGATTAAGACCATATATTTGACAACTATTTACAATATATACAGCAATACTTCTTGCTTGCTTCTAACAACACATTCTTAGTCCAGGCTTGTTTCTGTTCTTCTAATGGTTACATTGCCTTATATCTAATTTTTAGATTTGTTGGCAGATTAATCCAGAGCTGGACTCTCCTTCGGGTTTACCTTGGTTGGCATACATGTCTCAACTTGTCCAGAATGTTCACTAACTGAATTTTTCCAGAAAACATGTTCCAATGTGTGAAAACTTGAATTCTCTTGTTCCTACTCAATAGGCCACCTTGTCAAATCTTTGTGCTGTTATCATCATTGGAATCTGTCGGATCTTGAAAGATGGCACTATTTTCAATTTATTTGCAGAAGTCTTTTTGAAATTTTTATTGAAACAGAAATATAAAGATAGCCAAAAAATGAAAATTGAATATTAAGTATGAATAGTTGATTTATTAATTATAATTATAATATGGGAAAACAATTCTGATATTATAAATTTGCTACTAACATAAACATTAACATGTTATTTTCAATACAGTGTAATGCCAGAATGGAAGATTTCTCTTGCATTATACCATATTTCATCAGTAATTATGATTTCCTTTTATTTAATTCATTGAACATTTTTCAATTCTCTTGATGTACAGTTTTAGATGTATTCACATGGTCACTGATAAGATGACAAAACTTTACTTAACAAAGTTTTATTTTAATTCACACCAAGAATTTTACTTAAAAACTAAAACTTAAACATGGAATTGTGGAACTGAAGCTAAATTAAATATAACAATTCTCTCTTTTCAGCTGTTTGAACCAGCTATTTCTTCTCTATACAGCAATCCAGTTATATAAAGCTATTTTTATTTAACTGTTCAGTTTTCTTCCTTCCTTCCTTGCTTTCTTCATCTTATGTTTTCAAGAACCTTTCAAGAATTAAGCCCTTTCCACAAAAACCTTTATTTGTTTTTAATTTTAGCTTATCTAAACTGATTATATTTTATTTGTGTTAAATTTTATTTACATGTAATGTACATACTGGATAACCATAATATGAATAAAACACAACTTTAACAATCCAGCAAATAAATTATTTTAGTAATATAAAAATGTTTTTGACCATTTTTTAAAGCTCTTCAGTTAATATAAAATAGAACATTAAAATAGAATGTAAATATGAAAATAAGAATTCCAAGATAAAATAAATAATGGAAAATGTAGTTGTTGTCGATAAAATAATATAAACTAAGTTGAAAATGTCACTTAATAAAATAAAATTAAATTAAAATAAACAATGTCCCTTAAAAAACATTAATTCTCATAAAAAGACTGCCATGCGTTAGCTAATGTGTTCGCATGATCATTAAAAAAACGGTCTAAAAGTATAAAAACGTTTTTGACTGTTACTAAAATAATTTATTTGCTGGATTGTTAAAGGTGTATTTTATTCATGTTAAATTTTATACAAGAGTAATCCCAAAAGTAAGGTTTCCTATTTATTTAGAAATACAAAGAAACATTTATTTTCAATAATGTTTACATCATTTTAAAGCTTGAACATTTATTTATTATTCTACATAATTACCATTTTGGTTGATGCATTTTTGTAGACACAGTGGCAGTTTTTATATGTCCATGTCGTGGGACCCATTTTGCACACACCTTCTGATATTGCAACTTTTCTGTTAAAATCTTATGAATGGCTACCTCAGGAATCAAAATACAGAAATTGTCCAGAGTGATCCACCAATTTTCACGCATCGTTTGCTCAACCTTCATGACTGTCTCATTGGAAATTGATGATCTCTCACTTCTTTCTTCGTTGTGAATTTCAGTATGACCAGCTGCAAACTCCCTACACCACTTGCAGATGTTTTTGACATCCATTCATGACTCGTCATACACTTCCATCAATTGGCAATGAATTTCAATTGGTTTAACGTGACATGGTGGCGAGCTGGATTGACATGGGTATACAAAAATGGTCACTGCACCTACAAAAATGCATCAACTGAAATGGCAATTATATAGAAAATAGATAAATGTTCAAGCTTTAAAATGATGTAACATTATTGAAAATAAACGTTTCTTTGTATTTTTTAAAAAATAGGAGACCTTACTTTTGGGATTACCCTCGTATAGGGAAACTGTTAATGTAGCACATTCTATCATTCATGTCTACAGTGTGATAGTAGGATTACATAATTTGAGATCTTATTGTATTTGTTTATCTGATTTTCACAAGAGTGTTGTTTAATATCATATTTATATTAATTATTGAGGTAATTGTGAAGCAGTTGTATAATCTATAATTTCTTTCATAGTTATATAATAATAATAATAATAATAATTTTTTATTNAGTTATAAATATATGTATTATAGTTTTGTGTTTCATTAATTCTGGTGTATAAACTAAGTATTGAAGAGATTCTCTGATGATGAAATTTTTTGGAAATGTATAACAGAAGGCATGGGGTTATTTTTATTCTTTGTTTAATGATTACTCTTGAATAATCATAGAATTTTTGTTAATTCTTGAGGTTAGTTTTATTGAAAAACTAATTGGTCATGCAAAACTCATATATCCTTTTTTGTTTTGAAGTTCATTAGAAATTATTGGCAAATTTGTAGAAAAGTTTTCAACTTAAAAACATTTTTAAAATGTAAGAGTTCATGAACTTTAATTAGTCTATTCAACAAAATAACAATGTTTAAAAGTTTAACATCTACTTATTTGTAATTAGTTTAATAATTGTATATTTATTGCTCATAATAGATCACACATTTGTCCAGGATGCTAGAACAGTGTATTTAATCTTGTTCTAAATTGTCTTTTTTCTAGATTTTTATAAGATTAAATAAGTAACAGTTAATGACTTTCATTTCTGTAAAGATAAATTTGTTTTATTATCATATTAAAACGCTTTGTTATTAACTTTGAATTTAACAAGTTTAAATAAATAAGTGAATTAAAATATTGCATTGCAAGTATATAGTTTTTAGTAAAATTTATTTTTGAAATTTTTTTCAATAAAATATTCCATTTATAGTGTCATCATAATAAATAGTGTTAGTTGCTCAAAAAGTAAATAAATTTGTGTTACCACAAATTTTCTTTTTATTTACAATGAAAAATGAATACTGTAGATTCTGCTTATTGTAATCTTAGATAATAATGTTATTTAGTTATTGTTATTGAAATTAACAGATTCTATTACAATGGATTAATAGACTATAAAGTTTATTTATTCTAATCAGAATTTGTTTATTTTTATCATTGCCTTTAGATGAATAGGTCTTTTTAAGTTCTTTTTTTATGCTATTTCATGCAGCGTGAACATATGGCTGAGAACATACAATTGTTATCAGTCTTAACCAGTGTTTTAAACATTATTAATTTTGATCATTATTTGCTCACAGTACAGTAATTTAAATTGTTGGCATTACACTAGCTGTTATTGAAATTGGTAACAGACAAATAATACTGAATAAATTATATGTTAATTAAGAACAATAATAATAATAGTTATGATGATAAATTTTAAAACTGTCCTTTTTTTTAACATATCTTTTTAATATTAGAGTCAATGAAATCAGAATTTCCTTCAGTTGTTGTTTTATTTACTTACTCTGCTTAATGTTATCAATTTGATTATTGTTATCAGTTTAGGTGAATCCAAAAGTAATTACAATAAGTAGAGTCCACTGTATTTCAAAAAATATAACACTTCATTTTCATCCAATTACCTTTTCAATTTATTTTTTCAGGCACAAGTTATGCCTCATAGAACATTTCGTTTCAATGAATGTGTTTGTACACCCTACAATGCAGATTTTGATGGTGATGAAATGAACTTACATCTTCCACAAACTGATGAAGCAAGAGCTGAAGCTCTTGTTTTAATGGGAGTAAGTAGATACATAATTTATTTATATGCAAAGAAATTATTTTGATATTATTGTTGCATTAATTTCATGATAGTTGTTACATATTGAAATAAACAGATACTAAGTTTTTATTTAACTTAGCATCTACTGCCTTATAAAAGTATGAGGTCCCAGAGAAAATTCTAAGTTGTTTATGCTATACTGCTACTCCTTTACACTCAATTTTCTTTTTACTACTAAATTTTTATTGTTATTTTTTCTATTTCTATCACGCTTATTTCAATATGTATCTGTTATCTCACTAATAAATTATGTACTCATATTTAATTAACAATGTAGCATGTCATATTTATTATTTACATTTGTTAAATCTTAAGTTTAAACAAACTGCTTTTTCTAAATATATCTTTTGATATTTTTTGGATTAATTTAATAATAAAGTTCCACTACGTCATAAAACCAGCAAAAGAACCATTGACTTTGGAAAGCAAATATTTTTGTTTATTTTTAAAAAGACATTTTTAGGATGAAAATGTTCATTTTCTAAAATGAGTGGTTCTTTTGTGAGTTTATTGGTTTAGTGACATAGTGGAGCTTTTATTATTGATATTAACCAGTAGTTGATTGTTGTTTTTTAAATTAATATACCAGAAATTTAATAAAAAATTGAACTTGTAACTTATATTGTTTTATGTTTTTATTTTGTGTTTCGACAATGAAAGTTGAGAATGAATTTTTAATTTAGCAGAAAAACTTACAAACAGATTGATAGATGTAAAAAATAACTATTTATTTACATAAAATTGCCAAACATTTTTAAATGCAATCAATAAATTACTGTCTGCTTTATTGATTTAGGAAAACTGTTTTTATTGGAGAAAGAAGTACAGATAACTTAAAAATATGTTTTTGTTCATTGCATCTTATATCAAGAAACTGATTTTTATACCATGTTTATTCTGGGGTAATTTTTGATAATTTGTGTCATTGTTAAGTAAAGTAACTATAAACATGTAAGTGAGAGGCAGACAGGCAGGCAGGAAAGCATGTAAATAGGTGCAACTGTCATTAGCATGCTTGTAGCATATTAGCACAGGTGCTATGTATGTTTGTATGCCAGTTTATTGAGTAGATTTCATGAAATTATGTATTTTTAAGTAATTTTAGAGAGAATTATATAAGTCATTTAATAGTAATGTTTCTAAATTAAAATATTTTTTCTTTAAAGAAAAAAATTTTATTCTTTAAAAAAAATCAATGAAATACAGATCTTTACAAATAATATCATGCAATACAATTATTTTATTATTAAAATGTAATAGCTTAATTTTTGAATGGAATGTAAATGTCGCTTATCTTTAAATTACAAAATTCTTGGTATCATATTGCAAAAATAGAAAATCAACCTGCTTTTTACAGGTAGTAAAATGTTTTATTACATGTATTATTATATTGTACTTTTGGTCTTTTTTGGTCAGCTTCATCTACAGAAATTCTTGTAAATATCAAATACTATTTAAAATTAATCTAAGTAAAACTTAATTATAAAATAAAGAATAAATTTAACTAAAATAAATTAACATAAATAATACAAGTTCTTGTAGTAACCTTGCAAAACCATCAATAGAATCTATAGCATCATTCTGATGACAGATAGTCATTAAATCTGGGAAACAACAATTCTTAGAATATGTATGAATTTAGCTAAGTGATTTAATTAGATCAGAAACTTAACTAGAATTATTGGATAAGCCTTGCTTTCTAGTAAGTAAGACTTACCAAACATCGGGAGAAAAATGTGTAAAAATGATAGCTCAAAACAAAACCTCTATGGAGGCAAGTTGATAATAAATATAAAAAAAGAAACTAATCGCATAGACTTATGAATATAGACTATAAATTACTATAAAAATGTCAACATTTGTTTAAAAATATTTACAAATAAATCATTTTAAAGAATATTAAGAATCATAAGGATCAGTTAAACAAAATTAGAATTCTTGTTTCTTGGAGAACTGTTGTTTGCTATTTCATTTTTACCTTCTTATTTATGGATCATGTAAAGTAATCTTCTAACAGCAAGACATTAATTAATATAAATAAAACTCACTACTTTATGTGGACCTTGCATTTAATTTCAAAAACTGTTATGAACGTTTTCAGTCTTCACCTAGGACCTTCCTCAGGTAGATTTTCCTAAAATTCAAATCTCTCCAATGCTAGCATGTCAGCTTGAAATGCATAGAAGATTCTGATGTATTCAAATTTCAATCTTTTATGTATTCCAAGCTGGAATCATCAGAGAGATTGAATTTTTTAGAGAAATTATGTAAGGAAGGTCCTATGTGTAGACCAAAAACGTTTGTAACAGTTTTTGCAATTAAATGCAAGGTCCACATAAGGTTAGTGAGTTTTAATCATATGGACCATATTGAAAAAAATTAATTTTGATATTCCTTACAATTGAATAAGCCAAAAAGGTTAATCATTAATTGATTAAATAAATTCTTGATTTACTTAAATTTCTGATAAGTTTTTGTTTGTTACTGAAATAATGGAAAACAAATCTAGCACAGATTTATGCATTGAACTCCTCTCTCATTTTTGCAATTTGTTTAAAATAATATCATCCAATCTTCATTGCAAAACTTTTTACAGTTTGATAAAAACAATGGTTGTAAGAAGAGAGAAAGTATTAAAATTCTTTAGAGTTACATATTGAAATGTTAAATTACTAACTAAATTCACCTTTCACAACTTAGTTAATTCAGTGTGACTTTTTTAATGATCAGTCATGAGAACTGTTGGGAATTTCATCAGCCAATCTTGACTAATATGGTTTTGAAATGGAATCACATAGTTTAAGCTGTTAATTATTTTGAAATATAAAATTTCAAATCTAGTACTTCAGGTTTTGCTTTATCTTATTTTCTTCATGATAATAGTTTGTTGGTTTAAACTTTTTGATTTGTGATTGGGCTTATTGAGTATGTTTTGGATATATTCTTGACAGTTCTCTTTGGGAATATGAGACAAGAAGATTATGAAGCTGTCTGTCCCTTTATCTCCAATTTTTTAATTGTATCTTTTAACAATTATCAAACATGAATAAATATTTCTTTGTAAAAACTTGCTATAATTTAAAAGCAGTTTCAGTTCAATCTTCTAACAATAAAGTGAAAATGTAAAATATATACACAAACCTTAAACTGGCCTTGCAGATAGGTGAGTGTTTTATTATCTGTCTGTCTGCAAGGCCAGTCTAAGGTTTGTGTATATTTTAGTGGTTTAAATTTTTGGAATGTGTTAATATGTGTAATGTATGTTAATTCCTTTTTATTATATTGGAAGAATTAAGTAGTCTTCCAACATAAAAAGGAATTAACATACAGTCGACCCCCCTATAACGTACGTTCCTATAACGACAATTCCTATAACGTAGCGAAAAAATTGTAGCAACTTTCGTATAACGTACCTCCTATAACGTCGTTTCGCAACAAGATTGATAGAGTCTGGACCAATAGTGGATGAGCAGCCGAACTACTTTCCTCCGACCCTGCGCCACGCTACGGAGCGGCTAAATTGAGTTTGCTATCGTCTGTTTAGTATTATATATAAATTATATATAAATTAGGTACTGTACATATAATTATATATTAATTATATATAAATTAGGTACTGTATATATAATTATATATTAACTTAATTTATTGTAACTTTATTATAATTATATATATGCTTTCTGCCGCCTGGCAACACGCTACGGAGATTTTAGGCTAGTAAGTTGAGTTTATTATCGTCTGCACAGTATGTAAATTAGGTACCGTAAGTCTAA